GCTTGGTATGACACATTGTCCCTATTCTTAGTGAACCATGGGTTTACTAAAGGAAAGGTGGACAAAACTCTTTTTCAGATTACTGTTGCTAATCATATTCTATTAGTGCAAATTTATGTTGATGACATTATATTTGGAAGCACTAATCCAGAATTATGCAAGAAGTTTTCTAAAGTGATGCAGAAGAAGTTTGAAATGAGCATGATGGGAGAATTCAGTTATTTCCTTGGATTGCAAGTCAAACAAGTTCCAGAAGGCATCTTTATCAACCAAGGGAAATACACCAGAGATCTCATCAAGAAGTTTGGAATTGATGGAAAATCTTCAGTCAAAATTCCTATGAATGCATCTCAAGGAATTGGACCAGATGATGAAGGAAAGGATGTTGATGCAACAACTTATAGAGGAATCATTGGATCTCTCCTCTATCTGACTGCAAGCAGACCAGACATAGCTTTTGCAGTAGGAATCTGTGCCAGATACCAATCAAAGCCCAAGGAGAACCATCTAGTTGCTGCTAAGAAGATTATCAGATATATCAAAGGAAATCCGAATGCAGGACTATGGTATCCCAAGGGAGGTAATTTTGAACTAATTGGTTACTCTGACTCAGATTTTGCAGGTTGTAGATTGGACAGGAAGAGCACTTCCGGTCACTGTCAATTGCTAGGTGGGAGACTTGTCTCCTGGTTTAGCAAGAAGCAGAATTCAATCTCAACTAGCACTGCTGAAGCTGAATACATTGCCGCTGGAAGCTGCTGTGCTCAATTGCTCTGGATGAAGCAACAACTCAAGGATTATGGAGTGCAAGCAAAGGAGATCAAGCTGTTGTGTGATAACACAAGTGCCATTGCCATCACTCAGAATCCAGTGCTGCACTCGAGGACAAAGCATATTGAGATCAGACATCACTTCATCAGAGATCATGTGGAGAAGAAACACATTTCAATTGAGCATGTTCCAACTGAAGACCAGCTTGCAGATATCCTAACCAAACCTCTTTCTGAGGCAAGGTTTAACAAGCTACGGGAAGAATTGGGAATGATGGATACATGAATCAGAGTTGCAGAAGCATCAGATGTGGATTCATCAGAATTCCCCACCTCTGATACACTTATCCATCAGAGGACCCTATATCAGAGTACCCCTTCTCTGATACTTGGACTATTAGTTATCAGAGTGGCTGTGGACTTAGAAAATTTTCTGAAATGCGGGCGAGTACACTTAAATGGACCGGAAGTTACTATTTTATCCCCGGTAGTTATTACCACTTTTGGAAAACGGCTTTCCGCCCACATTCCATTAAATGCGACCTCGAAACCCCAAATTATACCAAACGTCCACTAACCCAAATTCATATATACTCATTCTGAAAACCTAAATCGCTACTGCAATTTTACTCTTCATCCTCAAGCTTTATCTCTCTAAAACTTCCAACTTTCAGACCTTCTCAAATCTCTCCAAGACTCTGAAAATGAAGTTCATTAACATCACCGACCTCTCAGAATCGGAAGCCAAGGCGCTTGTGGCTAACATTGCCACCGGGATGAAGGTTGATATGTCATCACTGCCACTGTTGGCAGAAAAATTAAAAGTGATGAAAGCGGTCATTGCCGGAATGAATGACTCGCAGCTGACCAAGATAGTGGCTCACCCATATGAGCATTTCAGCAACTTGGATGTGGCTGAGTTCTATCTCAACGCCTACATTGCTGACAACTCCATTCTCTCCCAAGTCCAAGGGAAGGACCTGAAGGTATTTGAAGCACATTCTCTTACCCAAATACCGAGGGCTCAAAACTCCGAGGCCGACATTCTATCCAAGCTCTCGGATGAATCCCCCGAGCACCTCTCAAAAATTGCGAGAATCGAGGAACTCAGCCTCTCAAGCATCCACGCGAGCCCCGTTATGAACATTAACCTAAGGCCGGAGGATTGGATCTCCGACATCGCCACCTTCATCACCACAGGGCAACTGCCCCAGGATGAGGCCCGCGCAAGATTGACAAAATTGAGGGCTCCCAGCTACACCCTCGAGAATGGTAAGCTCTACAAAAGGTCTTACAACGGCACACTCCTTCGGTGCCTTCATCAGGACGAGGCCGAAGTCGCCATGGAGGAAGTGCACAGTGGCACTTGCTCAGCTCACCAGGGACCCTTCTCCATGTCCTGAAGGCTCATTGTTCAGGGTTACTTCTGGCCCACGATGGCTAGAGATTGTGCTGATCTAGCCCGAAGGTGCACCGCTTGCCAACACTTCCAGAAGGCCCCCGGCAGATCGTCAGTCAACTACGCCCCCATCAGCACCGCCATACCCTTCTCCAGATGGGGTATTAACCTAGTAGGCCCTCTGCCGAGGGGTACCTCCAACAACAGGTATATCATTGTGGCCATTGACTACTTCACCAAATGGGTGGAGGCGGAACCCCTCGCCAGCATCACTGAAGCCCGGTGCCGCCACTTCGTCCTCAAGAACATTCTGACAAGATTTGGCGTCCCCCAACAAATCATCTCCGACAACGGGACTCAATTCGAGGCAGCCCCCTTCTGCGCCCTCCTGGAGGCGTGGGGAATCAAACACACCTTTTCATCCGTTGCCTACCCTCAGGGCAACGGACAAGTAGAGAACGCCAACAGAACCCTACTTGAAGGGATGAAGAAGAAGCTGGAAGCCGAAGGGGGAGGCTGGGTAGAAGAACTCCACAACATTCTATGGGCCTACCGTACCACCCCTCGGCGTGCGACAGGGGAAACACCCTTCTCTCTGTGCTATGGCTTCGAGGCTAAAGCTCCCACAGAAGTGACCCTTCCCACCCGAAAGGTGGAACAATATGAACCCGAGGTCAACGACGCCAACATGGCCCTCGACCTTCATCTCATCTCTGAACGTCGAGAACAAGCCTTCATCAGAGCCGAAAACTATAGAAGACAGGTAAAAGGCTACATCGACGCCAAGGTCCGCTCCCGGGAATTCCAGGTGGGTGACTACGTCCTCCGACGAAGGGAGGCCAGCCTACCCACCGAAGGAGGAAAAATGGCGCCTAAGTTTGAAGGCCCCTACATCATCTCAGCCATCATTAAACCGGGGACATACAAGCTTAAACGCCCTAATGGGACAGAGGTCCCTAGACATTGGAATGTGCACCACCTAGTCAAATTTTATCAATGAGCGGCCAAGCCCTCATCCTCAACAAGTGTAAATGATCAATGGCCCAAGGCCCCATCCGTTTTGAAAGAGTAAAAAGGCCAAGCCTTCACCGCCTATATGTCACGCAAGCGGCCCAAGGCCCCTATCTCCCATGAAAATGAATGGCCAAGCCCTCATCTCTTCACCAAAATAGGCCCAAGGCCTCTTCCTCTCATGAGGGGGAACACCAATTTAGGTACCAAGTACCAAGTATAGGGGTCACCCCCATCACTCTTTGAAAACACCAAGTGTTCTCTCACTAAGCCGTACCCCACGAGGACGCAATCATGCGTACATTATGCATACTTATACATACCCTCCTAAAAAAAACGGGGGGTGCAACACCCCTCGGCTCCGGCTGGCACCAAGTGCCCCCGGCTGTTTGTGTTCCACACACAAATAAAACCCTTCCCAGGAACGCTTTCCGCGCCATCCCCCAAGGGGAGGCAGGCAACGGACCATGTCCCGGGCCCAGGATTCGACTTCCACAAACGAAACGCTCCCCGCGCTATCCCCCAAGGGGAAGCAGGCAATAGACCATGTCTCGGGCTGAGGGGACGACTTTCAAAACCGAGGCGCTTTCCGTGCTATCTCCCAAGGGGAAGCAGGCAACAGACGATGTCTCGGACCGAGGAAACGACCCTCAAACCCTTCGGGATATCGGAAGGTCATTCCCGAAGGGGGAGCCAACGGTTTGTTCCGTTGCCTCCCATATAGGCCAAGCCTTTCCTAGAAACCAAGTTTCTTGATGCCTCCCCTATACCATCTCAAACAAAAAAAAAGGATGTGTAGGGGGGAAGGAACTCCCCGGATACTATTCTCCCCGGAGGCTCAACACTTCGGATATATATTCCCGAAGGCTCCTACAAAGGCACATGAGAATCTCTCGACAACAAGTCATCTGGCTACCTAGCCGAAGGCTTCACCACCTGAAGCCTTGGAGTACAAGAATTCCCCCTGAGGCCCGAGAAGAGGCCTTACCAACAGAACTTCACCAAAATTTGGCTAAGTCCGAAGTTTGGCTGAGGCTAAGCAGTCTATCTCACACCCGAAGGCATGCCCTCACATCGGTGGGACAAATTCATGAGACCAACAACAGCAGAAGATTCATCAAACTCCTTCACCTGAGGGCTCACAACAAGGAGTATTGAAAATTTGGGGAAATTTGACTAAGTCCATAACAACAACAACCCCCCGGTGACCGTACACTACATCCGAGGGGTCCCTGGTTCTGTGCTATAAACCGAAGGTTACTCCCTCGACAACTCTACACAACGGGGGCTCGAGCAATCCTCACATTCGAAGGTTCACTACAACACCTATTGAAAGTTTGCGGAAAAATGACTAAGTCCACGAGTGGGAACCCATCGGCGGTATCTTTGTCAACCCACCCGACGGGGACCTAGAGCTACACTAAAGGCCGAAGACCTCATCACCATTGAGGGCCCAGAGTGAAATTAGCTTCGAAAATTTCCTAAGTTTAATTCATTCTAACCCCCGGTCCTACCCCCTACAACCCGAAGGCACTCCCAATGATGCAATGCCGAAGGTATACAACTGATGACTCGTGATTGGGTTTCCACTTAGAAAATTTTCTAAGTCCACAACAATGACCCCCCCGGCGATACTACTCCACAGCCGGGGGCTGGCAAGGAGTTACACTTAGAAAAAAAAATTCTAAGTCCACAAACTTGTGGCCTCCGGGAAACCAGACAAAGAAGGAAAAAAAAAATATTCATCCAAGTGAAGGAAAGCATACATTCATAAAGGAAAAGGACGAAGGCAAACAAAATTTGAAGAGAAATGAGGCAATCATTTATACAAAGAGCCCGAAGGCGATCATTCATTCATCCGCAAAAGAATATTCAAGGTACAAAATAGGTGTTTGTTCACATATACGGCCGAAGCCGGAGCCTACCACTATTACATTCAAATGTACTTAGAAAAATTCAAGGTTGGGATTCTGCGGCTGCCTCGTCCCTCGGCTTCGAGGCTGCGTCATCCTCCGCATCTTCTTCGTCCTGGAGGCCGTACTCCCTCATTAACTCGGAGTCTGCAAGCTGAACCCTTTCCTCGCCCTCCGGGAGGGGGACCCTCACATCAGGCTGCCGGGAGGAAGACCATAGGCCGAAGGATCGAAGTCATCCTTGGGAATCTTGAAATGCTCGGCCAGCTTCCGGTATATCAGGCGCTGGGTGAAGAACTCACCTCCATCGAAATAGTCTTTGCCTCTCAGGGCCATCCACTCGGACCCGGGGCCCTTCAACCAAGCGCCGACGCCTTGCTCAATGACCGAGGCCACCCATCCCTGGTGCTCATCGGATTTCCACCCCTCGGCAAGGAAAGCAGCAACAGCATCCTCTTTTGCTTTGGCCACAGCCTCAGTCTTGGCCTTCTCGGCTTCATCAGCAGCTTTCTTTGAGGCCTCCTCAGCTGCCTTCTCAGCTTCAGCCTTGCCCTCGGCCCGAGCCTCCACCTTAACGGCCTCCAACTTATCCCCCGCATGCCTCAGAGCTTCCTCCAGCTCAGCCATCTTCCTGATGGCCTCGGTATTCTTGGCAACAAGCCTCTTAAGGGCCTCATCGTCTTCCGCCTTCCGGAGGCGAGTCTGTTCCATCCTCCGGAGGTATTCTCCGAAAGCCAGGCTGGTCTGCAAACAAAGAAGGGACACTCGAAGTCAAAACATGCGAGGGAAAGGACACAAAAAATAACAAATTGCAGGAGATCCAGGAACTTACAGAAACTGAGGCCTGGAGGGCCTTGACTTCAAGAGCCTCGTCGTCGAACCGGCCGAGGGTAGACCGATCCAGCGGGGGGGTTGCACCCCTCAGGAACTCCCTCGGATCGAGGGTGCCATGCATGACCGCAGTCCCCTTCTTAAAGGAGAACTGCACAGTCTCCTGGGGCCAGGCCCCCTCATCGAAATCCTCCAGGTGGATAGATTCCGAAGCTTGGAAGGGAGATGGCCCTTCAGTGATCACCAGGGGGGCATCTTTGGTCCCCTCGGTCTTTTTCTTCTTCTTGCTCTCCGGAGGCATGACGCCCTTCCCGGTATTTTTTCTCTTCAGCTCCCCAGCTTGGGAGCCCCCGGCTTCAGCACCGGTGTCAACAACAGCGGCTCCCTTGGGGTGGCCCCCACCCTCCGAAACCGTGGAGGCCCCGACTTTCTTAAGGACCTCGTCAACAAGGGGCTGGTTCGAGGACCCCTCCTCCTTCTTCCTTTTTGGCACCTTGGCCAGCTTTTTAGACAGACGGGCGAAGGCCTGAACGTCCATAATATCACCTGCAGCAATTCAGAAGGGGTTAGAACCGAAACAAGTAAAGTGCAGAAAAATTCTAAGTACCAATTGTTGGAAATATGCCCTAGGACAATCATAGTTTATGATTTATCAATAAATATTTAATGCTCATTAATTAATAAAGTTGCAAACTCATTTTATGTTAATTATTATTGTGAGTTTTCTTTATTAATATTTAGTCCCTGAATATTCTGTTTAGTAGCTAATTAAGTATGTGACTTAATTGTGGAATGCTACACTTTAAAATAAACATAATATTCTAATTGTCCCTGGTCTAATATTATTAATTTGGGACATTAATAATTAATAGACCAGTATGTGGATTAACTGATGGCTATATTCCACTAGTCATGGGTATAGAGATATCAAGTTAATAACATAGATGCTTGTTAGGGAACAAGTTCATTGGACAGACCCAACTTGAGGACACTGCTAGGTTATATGTCATCAGTGTTGTCCTCAATAATGATGAGGTGCTATATTCTTATACTTGAGATAATCATGGTTACTAGCATGAGAATTAATATGTATTAACACCATTAAATGTTATCTTTAACTGGGTAATTATAAAGGTGGTGATTGTACATATTATGAACCATGTAGTAGTATGTGAATTATCAAGATAGTTTTTTGTCACTCTTGTACATCGAGAGAAAGATATCTATTGGGCCCCTTGACAAGTAAGATTAATTAGCATGACCATGCTCAAATGAGGTGTCATTTGATCAAGATTAATCTTACTTGGTAATCAAGAAATATTAATTGAGAATAACAAGGATGACACGACCTAACCTTGTCTCAATTAAGATATCGTTTGACAAAAGAGAATTATTAGCACAAATTAATCATTAAAAGGTTATGTCAGATTTAATTGACATTTATATATTTTGGATAGTCATAATGCCTTGCTAGAGACCGCTTATGATTTGTGAGGCTCGAATTAATTTCTAGCCCACTGCCAATAATATATAAACCTACAGGGTCACACACCTAAGTGATTTGGATCATTAATGTTTGTTAATAACATTAAAATAGCTTGATTAGCCCAATTCGAAAGAGGGTTTCGAATGGTATTGGGCTAGGGCCTCTTTAAGGGTTTTATTAGCCATAAAACCCCTTCTTTCCACCTCTTATAAATAGGGCTAAGGAGACCCACGAATTTTAAGAGTTAAAAATTCACTTCTTAAACCTAGAGTAGAGAGGAAGAAAGAAGAGAACGCTAGCACGTTCCCTGCGGCCGATCCAGTCACGTGCGTGTGGATACCGGTAGAGCTCGGGATCGTTTTCTCGGACTGTCTGACATCCTTGATTAAGATTACTATGTAAGTCCCTCTTATGTCTTGTAATTTCGTTTATAATATGAACCTCAGATCCGATTGTTTACTTTTGGGTAGTAAAATTTTTGTTTATTCCGCTGCGTTTTTCTACCCGAAACCCAACAGTGGTATCAGAGCCTACGGTTCTTTATTATATTCGGGTTACATAATTTGATTATTTTGGGATTTATTTTCGGAATTAATTTTTTATTAATTTCGAAATTATTGATGTATTAATTTCGGAATTTATATATGTATGTTATATTCCGAAAGTTTATAAGGATGTGATATTCGAACTTGATCCAATATATATTCACAATAATATTTGGAATATTTTGTGATAATATTTATTTTACAAATCAGATCTGAATAGATTAGGAATTGGATGGAATCCTACAGCCTAATTATTCGGAAGAGATTTGAATGGACATGAAAATTCAAGAGTTTGAATTAGATGCAATTTGATACTTATAATTTATGTTTCATATACGGAATAATTTTGAGTATAACTAGGATTTTGATTTGAAATTTGGAATTTGATATTCAAAATCTAATTTTGGTTCTCGAATAGTAATCTGCTTGGAATCAAAAGTTTGTATTTGTAGATTGCTTCGAATCAAAATCATATGCTTCGTATCAAATTCGGATTGTGTTATATATTGATTTTCCAAATTTGAAATCAATAAAAGATTGAATTAGATCTAGTTTATATTTAGACCTAATTATGGAAGTTTTAGTTTCTTATTTTTCGGATGAGATCCGAATTGATTTTACAAAGTTATTCTTCAATTATACAAATTTAGTGATCTGCCAAATTAGTTCAGATCGAAGAATACAAAATTAGTTGGGATGAGATCCATATGATAACATATTGGAATTAATCTACATTACAGATATGTTATCTGGGAAATTCGAATTTAATCACAAATTAATTATTTTCGAATTTTAGTTCTTTAATTCTATTCGTAGTTATATATGTGTAATAATCTATATTACGGATATGATCTGTATTTGTGCATATATAATACGAATTATTTTAGAATTCATTAAATATGTATTTTTTGGATGAGATCCGAAATAATTACATATTACTTGCGGATTTTAAAATTTAATTTTCAATCCGTGCATGCACAATTATTTTGCTCCGTCACAGGGACAGTTTGAAGTGGTGGTATAGCATGATCTGAATGTATGTTTTATATTATGTTGTTTTACGACCTGCGTGCCGTTTCCCACTATCCCCTGTAATGTTTTTCAACCCCGTAGATTTTTAGTAGTACACTACACAGGTTGAAGATGTCAAGGAGATATGAAGATTTTGGGATCATGCTATATCACTGCACTAGTTTTAAATTATTTATTTAAATGTTTGATTGCTGCATGTGTGTAATTATTAGTCCCGACTAATTATAAGTCTAAATTGCTTTCCCAATATAACCACCATTTAAACTATGCTAGTCGTGATATGTGTCTGCCAAAGCAGAGCATTTCACACTATCTTAGGAAGATGTTTTGAATGATCGTCATTCTCGGGTCTTAATATTGGTTTGGACTTACAAGGCCATCAAAATGGTTTTGGGCCTTGAAGCAAAGAGTGTTTGGATAATCATATGATGTTGACCAAACAAACCAAGAGTCATATAGGATATGATTAACAAGAGTTGTTTACCTAAATAACTAATTTTTAAGTGATAAGCCAAAGCTTACTTAAATTTTAGTGAAATATGGATCTTGGACCACTATATTTGGGACTTTCTATTTAATATAGTGGGAGTTAATTTTTTGAGCATTATTTAAAAATTCTTTGCATTATTTGTTGTAGTAAATATGGCTGCCAACACAACTTTTTCACTGCGATCTATCCTTGAGAAGGAAAAACTTAATGGAACAAATTACATGGACTGGGATAGGAATCTGAGAATCGTTCTCAAACAAGAGCGTAAAGAATATGTCCTTGACCAACCAATTCCTGCTGAACCAGCGGCCAATGCTGCTAGAGCCATTAGAGATGCTTATGAAAGGCATGTCCGTGATGAAGTTGATGTCACTTGTCTGATGTTAACCATCATGGAAGCTAATCTTCAGAAACAGTTTCTGAATCGTCGTGCACATGACATCTCTAATGAACTCAAGAACTTGTTTCAGAAACAAGCACGGATCGAAAGGTTCGAGACGACCAAAGCTTTGTTTCACACAAGGCTTACTGATGGAAACCCGGTTGGACCTCACGTGCTCAAGATGATTGGGCTTAGGGATCACCTGGAAAGACTTGGATCTCCAATTAGTCAAGAGTTGGCTACTGATGTGATTCTCGCATCACTCACTCCGGCATATGACCAGTTCATCATGAACTATAATATGCATGGTCTTGAGAAGACCTTAACCGAATTGCATGGAATGCTCAACTCTGCTGAGCAAAACATCAAGAAAAATCGGAGTGACATTTTGATGGTCAAAAAGGGGAAGGGATTCAAGAAGCATGGTAATGGCAAGGTTGGTGGAAACAAGAAATCCAAAACCCTGGTTAAGAACTCGGGTAAAGGCAAATCAGTTGCTAGCTCATCTTCTAAAGAAGAGCAAAAATGTTTCCACTGCAACAAAACTGGTCATTGGAAGCGGAATTGCAAGGCGTATTTGGAGTAACTGAAAAAGAAGGGGCATGGTGATGCTTCCAATTCAGGTATCTATGTGATAGAAGTAAATGTTACCACCACTACTTCATGGGTATTGGATACCGGCTATGGTTCTCACATTTGTTCAAATGTGCAGGGACTAACAAGGAGTAGAAGGCTGGCTAAAGGTGAAGTTGACCTACGAGTAGGCAACGGAGCAAAAGTTGCAGCATTAGCAATAGGGACATTTACTTTGAATTTGCCCACGGGCTTAGTTTTAGAACTTGATAATTGTTATCATGTACCTGCCATTAGCAGGAATATTATTTCTGTTTCTTGTTTGGACAAGAAAGGATTTCATTTTATAATAAAGAACAACATTTGTTCTATTTATTTTAATGAGATCTTTTATGGTAGTGCTAGTCTCATAAATGGACTTTATGTTCTAAACCTTGAAATGCCCATCTATCACATAAATACAAAAAGGTTTAAATCTAACGACTCAAACCCAACATACCTTTGGCATTGTAGACTAGGCCATATAAATGAGAAGCGCATTAAAAGACTCCATTCTAGTGGATTTCTTGACTCTTTTGATTTTGAATCAATCGAGGAGTGTGAATCTTGTTTATTGGGTAAAATGGCCAAGTCACCATTTACTGGTAAAGGTGAAAGAGTTCATGGTTTATTGGACCTCATACACTCGGATGTATGTGGCCCAATGTCAACAATGGCCAGGGGAGGTTTTCAGTACTTCATAACATTCACTGATGACTTCAGTAGGTTTGGTTATGTGTACCTAATGAAGCATAAACATGAAGCTTTTGAAAAGTTCAAAGAATTCCAGAATGAAGTTCAGAATCAACTTGGCAAAACAATTAAGGCCATTCGATCAGATCGAGGTGGTGAATATTTGAGCCAGGAATTTAGTGATCATCTAAGAGGATGTGGAATTGTTTCACAACTCACTCCGCCAGGTACACCACAATGGAATGGTGTGTCCGAACGGAGAAATCGGACCTTGTTAGACATGGTCCGTTCCATGATGAGTCTCGCTGA